TATGAAGCCCTAGATTCAATCCTCAGGACAGAGGTGAAGGGGGCTGCTGTTGCTATGGTGGCCTTGCCTGGTGGCTCAGCCAGTCCCTCTGTGAAACACAGCTTCCTGCTCATGGTCCCTCCTCTCCACTCACTTCCTCCAACTCCCAACAGCGTCATTGCTATGCATCCCTCTATAACTAAACATGTGGTAACGTCACCCACCCCTACCTGAAACACTGTATCACTTCTAAAGGTAAGACTTACTTTCCAGTTCCACCCACCACCTTCCTCAACCCAACCCCAAGCAGTAACAATTTCGCTCAACATACCACTCTCCAACTTCCACTCCTTTGTGTAAGTCAGCCCTTTAGCCTAGACTACTTTCCTCCTCCAGGAAGTCCTCCCTGGTTACCTCCCTGCCAGTCTGGATGGGTCTTTTCCTGTGGTCACCTTTCCCCAGCATTTGAATCCATCATGGTAGATCTAAGCTCCTACTGCTTTTCTGCTGAGATGTCGTCACCTTCTCTCACTATACAGGGCTTGGGAGGGCAGAATCCGTTTTGTTTCTGAATGGGAGCCAGGGAAGGATTGAGACTCACCTGGGGTGGAGCTGTCTAGTGCTGGGCTGAGGGCAGTGTGTGGTGGTGTAGGGTCTCTGGGAGGGTGTGGCGAGGGCATAGAGGGTGACGAGCATCCACTGAGTGTAGGGAGTGGTGCCGGGCACATTGGGAACTGGGTGGGCTAGGTCAGTGAGGGAGTCTATGGGAATGGTGACAGTGTTCGTGGGGTAAGGGAGGCCTGAGGCGTGATGGTGGATAGCGGAATAAGGCCCGGGGAAGGACAGCAGGAAAGGGCAACCTGGGTCCTTCTTGGACTGGGGTCTAATCCCGGATTCCCGGGACCAGTGGCTATCTGTTGCATGTTCACTGGGCCCCTTGGGGTTGGAGTGTAACTCTAAGGGAGCATGGTGTAGACACTGTTTCTCACAGGGGCCAGCCACCCTTCTGCACACACCCCCTCCCTGCCTTCCTGAGGCTGGTCCGGATCTACATTGGAAGCATCTTGGTAGTCTCTCCTCAGCTTCGGCTCAAAAGAGGGCAAGTTCAGACTCCTTGTCCTGGGATGGGCAGGGAGAAAGAGCACCGCCAGATGACCTCTGCAGCTCTAGGCAACTGGGCGCAGGGACTCCACGCCAACGGTGGGGGGCTTCATCCCAACCAGTGGGAGTTCCATTCTGATGGGTGCTGGCTTCCAAGGGACATAGCCTACCGTTGGGGGACACTGGGGGAGGTAAGTGCCCTGCACGCCCTGGTTAACCAGCTCCCAGCTCCTTCTGGCTGCGTCCACTTCCGGAGCAGACACTGAAGTCCTCCCTAATTCCTGGGACTCTCTCAGCTGCTGTGCTCCCTGGTTTCAGGACACTGGGTTGACTGGTATCTTCTCCATCCCAGTTCCTTTTCAAGCTCCATCTGCCATAGGTGGGAGCTTTCTTCTTCCTTTCTCTTTAGACAGGGTTTTACTCTGTAGTCCAGGTTAGTCTCACTATGTAGCCCAGGCTAGCCTTTAACTCATAGCAATCAACAATCATTGCTCCTGCCTCAAGCTCCCAAGAGCTAGGATTATGGATTTTCACCTTTGTGGCTGTATCCACTGATTTTCAGTGTAGTTTTGAAGGAGTGAGAAATGGAGCTAGGGGAGGAGGGCTGGAGCATGGGCAGTGGGGGGCGGGAATGCAAGCGCCAGAGTGGAGCAGGCAGTGAGAAGAGGTAGGAAGGGCTCAGGGCAGGGCTGAGTACAAGGTCCTGGAATCAGACAGGAAAAGAAACCAAGGGAAGATATGCTGGGTATGAGAGCTGGGGTTAAAGAGGCTTAGTGAGATTCATGGACCATAGCTCTGTTGAGGCAAGAGAGGCCAGGAGAAGCTTCTCAGTGGGCAGGAGGGGGCTTCCCTGGGCTTCATGACCGAGGCTAACAGGATGTCCTTTCTTGACTCTGTCCCACTCCATACAGAGAGAACATCTCTCGGACCTCAAGATCACACATTCCCAGGCTCAAATCACCCAAGAGTCAATCAGATCCCACAAGTGGCTGCTGGTGACTGACTCACATGCCCAAGAGGGATGGCAGTGAGGAAAAAGCCAGAGGTTCCTCTGCACATCAAGCCACCTCCTCAGCTGGTTGCCACCCAACACCATGCCCTGGCCTTCCTTCTTCCCTCCCTGCATGCCCAGAAACCATAGCACAAAACGGTCCTGGTGAACTGAAGTCTGAGTGGTAATTTATGTTGTACAAAAGTTGCCTTAAAGAGGGACAAAAGGAGGGAGAGAGGGAGAGAGGGAGGGAGGGAAGGGGGAGAGAGGCAGTTTGGTGGCACATGCTTTAGATCTCTACACTTGGAGGCAAAGGCAGGTGGATCTCTGTGAGTTTGGATCTAGCCTGGTCTACAGAGTGCTTCACAGAGAAACCCTGTCTTGAAAAACCAAAGCCAGAGATAGAGATAGAAAGAGAGAGAGAGACTGAGGAGGAGGAGGAGATGGCTCATCAGATAAAAGCACTGGCCACACACACACCTGATGACCTGATTTCAGATTCCCCAGGTCCCATGTAAAAGCTTGACCCCATATCAAAAGCATCTATAGTCCCAGCACCGCTGTGTAGAAAATGGGAGAAGAATTTGCTGATGCTCCCAGTGAGATGTTCACTGGCTCAGAGCAGTGAAGAGATCCTGTCTCAGGCAAGGGGGAAAGGCAAGGACTGATGCCTGAAGGCTGTCCTCTGACTGCCACACTCCAGTTGTGTCAGGAACACACACACACACACACACACAATTTTTAAATATATAAGTACATATTACATTTACATATATGTCAAAGGTTGGGGTGTGCATGCCTGAGGCCCTGGTCCTATCCCCAGCGCCACAAACAAGCCAGCAGTGTGCCCACATCTCTATCTGTCACCCCCAGATGTCTGGCTGTGCTCCTGTGTGGCGACGCCCCAGCCTTACAGGGAATGTTTCAGGGTTGCTAAGCAACAAGTACCAACTGACAGCACACACCCTCATGCCTGGTGACCCTCATAGTACTGGCGTTCTCCCCTTCCCTGCCCTACACTCTGACATGTGTCCGTCATACAAGCTGATGAACACGCTGCCCTGGCACCAGATGTGGCTCGGTCAAAGTCAAGCCTATGGAAATCGCTACGTTTGGTAGCCACGGCTCAAAGCCGGTCCTACTAAATCTCACTTCAGAGCTTGTATGTCAGTTCCACTGTCTTGTACCGGCTCGGATGGCCACCTGTGTCAGTGGGCATGTGACCCCCTATGGGTGAGCAGGATTGCTGTGCCTGTTATGTGAGTGAGGCTGGCCCCACTCTCTGTCTCATTGTCTCCATGTCTCTCTCTCTCTCCCCCCATTTCGGAAATAAAGGAGACTGATTATAAACCACTAAACCTCATCTGGCCCCATGGCGTCCAAAACACTGGCCACAACAGAGGCATGGGGGGAGTGTGAAAGGCCTCCCTGCTGCTGCTGGAACCTCACTGTCCCTAACTGTTAAGCTGGGGGTTTTCGGATTCATCAATTCCCTGAGCCTCCCTCCCCTGGCTGAGTCGCTCCTGTGGAAAACCTTGGCCCTGAGCCTTCTCTGGCTTGCAGGCATCAATCCCACGAGAAAAGTGAAGCAAGGGGGAATTGGGCGAGACTTCGGAAAGACTTCCTGCCTACATGACATGACAGTCCTTGATGGGGGATGTCGAAAGAGGGACAAGGCTTTGGGAGTGAAAGGCCCCCACCCAGCTCTCTGGCAGTGTCACTAGCATACACTGGCCACTCCTGGTACAAAATGCCCCTGTAACGGCAGCTCTTGAGCAGAGAGAGGGTAAGGGACGCCTGGGTCAGGCCAGGAGGTTGACAAGTTAACTTTGAACTTTAGTGAACTGTCTCAAAGGACACTGTGCTCATTGGGCTCCGTAATGAATAACTGCAAGCCTAGCTTTAGACAGACTGAGGCAGGAAGATGAATGCAAACTAGAGGACTACATAGAGAGTTCTGGACCAGCCAGGGCTACATAGCAAGATGATGTCTCAAATAAATACAGGGGCGGGGGAGAAAGAAAGAAAAGAAAACTGGATTTGCTATTTTCTTCCTTTCTTTTATAAAATACTTTTAACTAAATGTACGCATGTGTGTATGGGGAGGTATGTGCACATGAGTGCAGGTGTCCATAGAACTGTCATACCCTGGAGTCACAGAGGGTAGTGAGCCACCCATGAGTGCTGGGAAACCCAACACAGGTCCCTTGCAAGAGCAGTAAACACTTTTGACCACTGAGCCATCTCTCCGCCCTATTCTTTCTTTTTTAGTTTTGATTTTTATAACAGGGTTCTCTCTCACTGTAGTCCATCAAACTCTGACAGCAGAGTCATGGCAATCCTGCTCCAGCCTCCGCAGCACTGGGACTATGGGCTTTTCTTATGCTCAGAACTCTGGCAGGACGCCTTACACGGGAAGGTCATTGCCTCTGTTAGCTGCCCTCTCTGAAGGACATGCTGGCTTTGGCTCCGGGAATCCCACAGGTTTAAGTTACTGGAGAAACTCATCTACCCTTCTCTGTCATCTAGCTGGGTGCCTGCTGCCCAGATGTGCAGAGCCCCTGTCCAGAGGTTTGCAGTTCAGAGAGGTGCCTTGAATGCCTGAGCCTGGATGGGGGAAAATGGGGCATCTCAGGCAGGGACTCTCTCCACAGTACAGAGCATCACCATGGATACCCTACAAAACTGGTGTTGGGTCAAAGGGCCTCCTAGAGAGGCGTTGAGCCAGAAAGCAAAGTCTCAAAGAGGAAGGAAGGGTCAATGGTGAGAGGTTTACAGACCAGTACATCTCAACAAATGAAACCGTCCACCAGATAATCCATAGTCCTCACAAAGCAGAGACAAACAGCCATTGCAGAAGAAAGCCACCATAGGTCCCCAGTCCCGCCCACACCAAGGCCCTCGGTGGCTCAGCCCAGTAGGTACTCACTTCGCCTCTGCCTCTTGCCCTTGATCCCCCGGTTGCCCACAGCAAGGTGTGTCCAGCTCAGAACCAGGGCCAGCACACACAGCCCAAGCCGCATAGTCACTGGCCAGCTCTGGGCCCCTGGCAGGAGGGGTGGTCTCTTGCTAAAGGCTCTGAGGCTGGGTCAGTGGCAGGAGGCCCAGGCCTGGGCTGCAGCCCAAATCCTCCATAACCTCAGCTGCGAACTGAGCGGTTACGGAGCCGGGTTCTCCATTGGTCCACAGAGAGGTCCTGTCCTGCTCAAAGCCACCTCAGAGAGTCACATGGGAAGTCTTGTTGGTTCAGCAGAGAACTACTCCCAAGATAGACCTGTGGGTAAGGAGAGAGAAGGGTTAGGTCCCACAGTGACTTAAGAGTCCCTGACTTACACCTCCTCCATTCCTTTGGGTTTCCCTGGCCTGGACTTTGTAGAACTCAGAAGGCCTGGACACTACACATTCCCTATCAGGCACCCCTGAAGAAGAAATCTCATTCTCCTATCTTGAAGCATCCTGTATCTCAACATTGGGGCCAGCTACCTGAGTTACTGGAATACAATGGATACCCACATCAAACCAGATGGTCTCTGCTCTGATTAATATTGACTAGTTCTAAATGGAAGTTCTTCTTTAAGTCTACCCTACAGACCTCATGCTGCAAGAATATCCTGACATTTGAAAAGGGGCTCTCTTTGTCCTCCTATGAGTGACTCCTCAACTTTCTCTTCCTGGTGCTGAGTCACCCAGGTGCCTTTCACCTGTCCCAATCCAGAAGTTAGAGCAGTGGCCTCTGTCAAGCAGGCAGACTCTGCCTGGTCCTCTGGGGTTGGAGGGAGAAAAGGAAGTGAGGGTCCCCCCCCCCCAGGCCTCCCCAGTCACAGAAACTCTGACACAGCAGGCCCGGCGGGCCTGGCTTTTGTGAGGGGATAAAAACAGCAGCAATGCCCGCCCTGGCCACAAACACAGAGAATGGCGATAATCCCCCAGCCCAGAGAGAGCCAGGGCTCTGGACCCAGTGGCCAGGGTGATGGGGGCAGGGGCACCCGTCCCCGCCTGATGCATCTAAGCTTCAGGGTTAATGAAGGAGCAACGGTGACAGCTCCGTTCCCACTCACAGGGTCACACACTCATAACAGAGGCTTGCCCACACATTGCCTAAGAAGTGCAAGAGCACACCTGCTTAGGCTCACAGGGTGAGTATTTGGCCTCTTCACCCAGGAGGCCCTGCCCAGGGGCTAGCTGTCTTTGGACCCGTCATTTTGCCTCCTTGAGCCTCCAGCTCTTCATCTATGAAATGGGGGATTGGTTCACTGCGAGCTCTAAGTTGTTTTGGCTTACTAATGAGAAACCTGAGATACTAACTTGGGCGCCTCCAGCCCTCTCTCCTCTCCCCTTCAGCTCCTCAGTGCCCAGTCTACCCCCTGGCCTCCCAGAGAGGCCCCAGCAGAGCCCACCTGCACTGGAGATAAATCATTACCCCCTGAGGGAGTTCGGTACCTCCCTCCTCCCTCCTCGGCCTCTCGGGCCTCTCCCGCTAGCTTTGAAGGCCAGACACACTCAAGTGGTTAAGCTGCCTGTGAGGAGTGTTTACATGAGCCTGATGGATCCCACCTGGCGCTGGTGCTGGAGCCAGCAGAGATGCCCCCACCACCCCTGGTGCCCTACCGGTCAGCTGCCACTGCCTGTGCCCCCCTCCCGGCCAAGTACTCCAAGCCAAAACTTCTCTGCCCCTATGTCACACTCCAGCCCCCACAGCCATGGATATCCAGCCAACCCTGTTGGTGTATTAGCTGTGTTACTTTGAGTTGCTGGCCTAGAAGCTCTGAGCCTACTTTCTAATCTGCAAGAGTCTGGTTTAGGTACAGCTTAGGTGAACTCATCCATAACTTGCTCAGAACAGAGTGGGCAATAGTGGGGTCCCAGTTAATGTCGTAATATTTTTTTTTTGTGAATGGGGTTTCATTGTGTGTTAACGTTCCTATGGCCCTGGGTAAAGGGATTTAACATCATCTGAAGTCATCTGGGTACCAAGTTAAATGAGGAGTCCCAGCATGTAACTGATGCATTTGCATATATCTCTGTGGTTGGTGCCCTGGTCCTGAAGCTGTCACCTCTCAGGAAAGCCCGTGTCAGACAGGGCATCAGTACCAGGCATCCTTGACCCACCAGTCCTTGTGCCTGCAAACACTGCCGCAAACAAGTCTGGGGTCAAGCAGGGATCTTTGACTTTGTTGTATTTGTGTGGGGTCCACTAGTCAGGAAAGATCTCCTGGGTGTCTCCGTACTCTTGGTGCCTACAGAATGGTGCCTAGTACTTCAGGGGCAAGGGCTGAGCAGCCCAGCCAATGGCAACTCCTTCCTGGCTCTCCTTACTCTCCACTCCTTCATCCCCCCCAGCCTCCCCTCAGGCCTACCATACTCACCAGGTCCCTGCCACTGGGAACTTCTTCCCGACCCCCATGGGATCTCCTGAAAACCTGTCTTTGCTTGGGATGGAGAGGAGGGGCAGAAATGAGTTTCACTGGCATAGGGGGTGCCAGCTTCCCCCTGGGGTGAAAAGAATTTCAAATACTTTCGGGCACTGTGTATTTTTATCTCCAACCAGGCAAATGAGCTAATAGTTCACCCATACCAGGGAGTATAAGGAACAGACAGGAGCAAAGCAGTGTGGGTAAAGAACAGAACAGTCCTCCCTCTGAAGGGGTAGCTACAGCCATAGCTGCTCTCAGACAGGAAACAATGACCTTATATCGCCAGGCTATCTGACATTTTCAGGAGTGAATTACGTCAGAGACTTTTTGGTACCAAGCTCCCCAGGGCCACAGATTCCTGCCTCCAAGGTTCCCTTCCCCTCCAGCTACTCTGGATCTTACCTGAGTACTCAAGGGGACACTGACACTGTGGAGAAGGGCAGGGTGAGGAGGTAGGAGCAGAGGACTGACTTTTAAATACCCCTCCTTGTTTCTACCACAGTTTCTGATTTACTTTGGGTATTGACTTGTTATAGCTCCCAAGTTGATTTTGGAGAGTTCATTGCACCCTGTTGGAAAGAGCTGTGGGTAGTGTTCAAGACCCGAGGCATTGGTGGGAGTGACAATAGCCTTGCTGGCTGGGGCAGAGTCCCACTTACTGGGCATCTCCTCTCACCTGACAGGAGCTAGAGCTTCTTTTCCTCAATCACAAACGGAGGAGCAAGGTGGAATTACAGGAAAACATGCTCCTTTGGAGTTAAGGACAGATTTTAAATCTAGTTTGCCACTGGGCACTGAGCGTCCTGAGGCTGGCCTTTGCAGAGAGCTGAGGCTTGTGGGCCAAAACCGCTCTGGGGATGGACGAGGGCAGGTGAAGCGTCTGGGGCCAGAAGCTGAGCTGGCCAGAGAGCACAATCCGAGGTCACATGGGTCGGGGAGGGGAGGATCTACAGGGAGGACTCCCGCTGGGGAAGGGGGACTCAGCTGCGGGGTGGAGCTGAGGGCGGGAACTCAGCCTGAGTAGGGTTCTGGGATAACTTTCACCTCCTTGCCTGCAACAACACTGTTGGGATAAATTGGTATTCCGTCAGATGTCGGATGCAGACCCAAAAATGTAAACCATGTCGATGCCTTCTCTTTAGACAACACTCCCATCCCTGAGATCGGCCACTGGCCGAGGAACAACCGGCTGCCAGAAGAAGCCGAAGTATTTCGGGGCGGGGGCGGGACCTAGTGTGTGCCAATGGGACCTGTGGGTATCGCAGAGGCACACCAGGCGCGGCGCGGGGACTGTTCCCACCCTGTAGCCCCCAAACCTAGAGCGCGGAGACAGGCTCGACTCCCTGCTTGCGTCTAAGGCGCTCACGTCCATTCATCTCCTCTTGGAGAGTCCTTGACAGGTGCCCCGGAGCGGACCCGCTGCACGCCCCCCTCCCATGTCCCTAGCATCCCCACGAGCACTGCAAATGCGCAGGATTCGGTCTCCTGAGCTGGGCCCACCCTGATGTCCCTGGGTGGCCACAGCACACCTCTCTCAGCCAGGCCACTGCACAGCGCATG